AATTGATCCTGCTTTACTGAATTCACAGGATGAATAGTAGTTTTGTGAGGTTGGAGGTCATGGCAATTTGGTTTAAACAAAACTAAATACAGCCCAAAGTGTTTATCACATCTTATTTTTATAATACTATACAATGCATTATTGCTATATCAGCTCAAAAAATCATTAATTGTCTTTGATTAGATTTAATAGTCCATAAAGTTAATTTTGATGTTTTTTGCTCAGTATCTGCAATTTGTATTGTTGACTTTATATTGTAGATTCCATCAAACTGAAATGGAATTTTTGTGGCAAACTTTAGTCCATCACAAAAACTCTCTAGTTTTCCACACATGCCCACTTAGAAAAGGCTATGCAGAAGCTGTAAATCTTTAAATATGCAATTCAACAATTCTGACCATATTTCTGTAGAGACTGGAAGTCAAGAGGGGGAGAAAAATGGGAAGGGGAAGGGGAAGGGGAAGCGGAAGGAAGGAAGGAAGGAAGGAAGGAAGGAAGGAAGGAAGGGAGGGAGGGAGGGAGGGAGGGAGGGAGGGAGGGAGGGAGGAATATGGTCTTTCTCCTTCCATATTTCACAGAATTAGAGCTTTCTCTAGAATACTAAGTTTTTGCATATTGTGTCTGAAATAAAATAACTTTAGCCTGGTCATTTATACCTTGAATGAGAATTTGTTGATTTGTTGATTCTCAGCCACTCACCTTGTACAAACACCAGGTGAGAGCTGTATTGAAGGCTGTGAATCCCAGCAAAGCTGCAGGCTCAGATGGGGTACTGGGGAGTGTGGTAAAGAACTGTGCTGATCAATTAGCAGGGGTCCTGACAAGGATTTTTAACATCTCCTTGCAAATGGCCTGTGTACCATCATGCTTGAAAGCAGCTACCATTGTCCCAGTTCCGAAGAAAACAGCAATCAGTTGCCTAAACGACTACAGACCCATTGCATTAATGTCTGAAGTGATGAAATGCTTTGAAAGATTGGTTCTCCAACATCTTAGGACATGCCTCCCACTGGACTTTGATAAACATCAGTTTGCCTACAGGGGAAATAGGCCGACAGACGATGCCATAGCTACTGCTTTACATTTGATAGCAAGCCATGAGGAGAAACCTGGAAGCTATGTCAGGATGTTTTTCATTGATTATAGCTCAGCTTTCAACACCATTCTGCCGAGTATCCTTATTGAAAAGCTGACTGGCCTGAATTTTCTCCCCTCCATCTTGATTGGATTAAAGACTTTCTGAGGGACCAGCTACAAACAGTGAGGGTTGGGTCTGTTTTATCTACCTTCCTGAAGCTTTGCACTGGCTCGCCACAGGGCTGCGTGCTTAGCCCTTACCTGTACTCTTTGTACACACATGATTGTGTATCATCCAACCCATCCACTGCGATCATCAAGTTCGCAGATGATACCACTGTGGTGGGTCTTATTACAGGTGGAAATGAGACAGCATACAGGGGGGAAGGTACAAAAACTATCCTCATGGTGTCTAAAGAACAACTTGCATCTGAACATCGGCAAGACAAAGGAGATGATGTTAGACTTCGCGAGGAAAAGAGAGGAACCTGCCCCACTTTACATCAAAGGGGACTGTTTGGAGAGAGTTTCCTCCTTCAAATTCCTGGGAGTCTACCTCTGTGAAGATCTTACCTGGAAAATTAATACAGCCCAGGTGGCCACAAAGGCCCAGCAGAGATTCCACTTCCTCAAGGAGGGTAGAACAGGGTAGAACGACAACTCATGACCTTCTTCTACTGGTCTACTGTTGAAAGCGTTCTCACACACTGTATTGTGGTTTGGTATGCTGGCTTGATAGCTGCGGACAGGAAGGTATTACAGAGGGTGGTGAACACGGCACAGAACATCATGGGCTGTTCCCTGACACCACTGGATGACATTGCCAGGGCCTGTTGCCTTGGTAGAGTGAGGAAAATTCTCAGGGATGACTCACACCCTGGTTGGTACCTCTTTACTCTCCTACCATATAGCCAGCCATACCAACAGGCTGAAAATCAGCTTCTATCCATGGGCTGTCAGACTCCTGAATGGGACATATTTTTATGCATGATAGACTCATGAGGCCGGTGTGCTGTGCAATTAGCTCACAAGGTGTAATAAGCTGGTGGGTTTGTAGTCACTGTGGTTGTGGGAGGGGGCACGGAGGGAAACTCAGCCAATCTCACTGTATATATGTTATATTTTGATAATAAAGGTTCATTCCATTCCATTCATTCCACAATCTTTAGATTTGTTTTCTTGGCTGTTCCCTGGTATTCTCAGAAATCCTCTTCAGCATTAAGTGTCCAATATAATAACGTAAATAAGGACTAAGTTGCCAAACAAATATATGAAGAGGAATGAAAAGGAAGTCTGAGAAAGCCATGTTGAATGGAACTGGCAAGATTCTCAGAAAACAAAAAGCAAAGCAAAGATTTATGGATGTGATGAATACAAGGTTTGCAACGATAGAAAAATATGGAAAGGTTATAGAGGATAACATTTATGTAATTTGATTCTATTTTTGTTTCCATTTTTTTCTTAAATGATACCTTTAATTTCTGGGCTATGTCATACTCTTTGTCTACATTCTGCTAAATGTTGCTTAAGCCAGTGGTGGGATTCAAATATGTGAATAACCGGTTCTCCGTGTGGATGCCGCTTCTGGAAGTCCATACTGGGCCTGGGCAACAAAAAATTAGCTACAGGTTCTGCTGAAGTGGTGCGAACTGGCTTAAGCCAAAAGTGTTGTGTGTATCTGTGTATGTGTGTGTTGTAGTTCAGAAATATTTGGAGAGCACGATTTCTTTCTTTGTATCTTATAACCATGAGAGATGGAATGCACCTTCAATTTAGGCATTTCTTTTTGCATGCTATAAATGTGCACATGACATGTATTGTAGTCTGTGCTGGCCATACATAGCGTTAAGTTTAGATACAAATGAGCTTTATATCTATATTTGTTTCTATCTCCTTTCTTAATCAGAGAAATTAGAAAACCTATTGGTTTCATTCACAAGGTTAGTACAGAGTTGTATTGAACAAAGCTCCTTGAACAGGATGGTTTTATTCTGAACATAAAAGGCAACTTACCATTCTTCTTGCAGTCCTCAACCTCCATATAACCTTCTCAGGAACACAGAGAGAATGATTCTGCTATTTATAGGAGCAGGGAAACTTTTACCAAAAATAATTACTCCTATACCTTTTAGTTCACATGCATTCTACAAATGAAAGGATATCTTACATTTGGTAACAGTTCTGAATATAATCCACAGGTATTCATACTATCCAACCCAGAAACTACAGTTATGACTGTTTTATGGGAGACTCTTTTGTAGCATAGTAGATCATGTTTGCAAAATTGTTGGTAATGCTAAAAAAATATTACACCAAACTGTCACAAACAGTAAACATGATGTAACTGAAAAGATTTGATTCTTTCTGAGGTGCTCTTAAATGCTTTTAAAACCATCCTCATCTTTGAATAAAATATTGTGTTCCATTTGATTGACTACTCAAAATGCTATTTATCTTATATTTTTAGAATGCTTGGCAATACTTCTTGTCAAAAGCAGATATGAGAGATTGAAAAGAATAAAAGGACCACATACTGAACATTAAGGTGGAAATAAATCCCTTTGAGCATTTTCTAATTTATCTTCTCAGCCATGTTATCAAATGAGATTTTATTTCTCATCTCAATGATATGTGATATATCTAAATTATATTTATCTTGAACTTTAATTATGAATATTTCAAACCTGTAGAATTTGTTGTCTGACTGATATATTATCTCAACAAACCCCATTGGAACATTTTTACTTTATTACTTTATAGGTAACTCAAGGCAGTGAACATATGGTATCTAATATTCCTTCTTCCTCCTATTTTCTCCACAACATCAACCCTGTTGGTTGGGCTGAGAGAGAGTGATTGTTCTAAAGTCACCAATCCAATTTTGATGCCTAAGGCAGGACTAGAACTGGTCTCCTGGTTTCTAGCCTGGTGCCTTAACCACTACACCAAACTTACTGTTTTAAATATCTAACTATTCTCTTTTAAGGATTTTAGAGTTCTCTGAATTTTGACATTGACAAATGTATCAGTGTGACTGTAAATTGAGATATCCCATGGCCAAATAACTCTTTCTGTCTATTTTGTGATCAATTCCATGCATTCAAATTGCGTGGCTAGGTGAAGGGAGATAGATTTAACCACATTAGCACTGATTGTTTTGTATGAAGTATTCTTATATCAATCCATAATCTACATACTACTATTATATACTATTTCTTTAGGAATGGAAAAATTCTTCCTTTAGTTTAATAGTTATAAGTGACCAATATACAGGTAGTCCTCAATTTATGACCACAATTGGGGCTGAAATTTTAGTCACTAAGCAATGCAGTTATTAAATCAGCCACACCCAATTTTACAACCTTTTTGTCATGGTTGTTAAGTGAATCACATAGTCATTAAGTAAATACAGCTTCTGCTATTGATTTTATTTGGATGCTGCAACCATCATAAATATCTGCCAGTTACCAAGCATCTAAAGGCTGTGACAGTCATTAGTGTGAGAACCAGTTGTATATCACTTTTTAAATGTGACTTTGAACGGCCATTAAATGAGTGGTTGTAAGTCAAGCTCTATTTGTAGTACCTACCACTGTGCTTCAATGAGTACTATTACAAATTCCAAATATACAGTTTATATATATCTATATCTATATCAGATAATATATGTATCTTTTAACATATCCAATTGTAGCATGATTTCTTAAAGAATTTTCACAGCATCCATATATTTTTTTAATTTGGATCCAGAATATTAATTGCTTTTAATTTCCATTGTAATTAAAGTTAACCATGATAAACTTAATCACACTGATTTTCAGTAGGAATTACCTCAGTTTGCCTCAAATGTTTTAATACAATAAATAAAAATCAAATATGCGTATTATTACATCACTTCACATTTTTGTTCTCCATTTTTCTAGGGATTTCTTGGTGATCTATCGGTAAAATACGTGTACATATTCAGATGACTCTGGGACATTTTTTGCATCAATAATGAAAGGATTATCTGGCAGTCGCAGTCACCATCATGGGGTTGCCTGTGAACCTGTATGTGATTCTCTGCTACATCACTCAGATAGGAAGCCATATTTGTTAAATCCTATGGACCATCATCCTGCAGATCATACTTACTATAATCAAAGAAACTCTTTTCAAGGAGAATGCATGGCTCCATACAGTGATCAGATTGCTAGCAGCACATTTCCTCGGAGACATTATAATTCCCACAAAGAACTTAAGGATGAATGTGCTTTGGTGCCACATGGAACAACCAACAAAGGTAATCGCATCCCTGCCAATCTTTTGGACCAATTTGAAAGGCAGCTTCCTCTTAATAGAGATGGCTACCATACTTTACAGTACAAAAGGACTGCTGTAGAACATCGTAGTGATAGTCCAGGAAGGATCCGCCATTTGGTGCATTCTGTTCAAAAGCTTTTCACAAAATCTCATTCTCTTGAAGGCCCATCAAGGGGCAGCATCAATGGAGGCAAATCAAGCCCAGAAGACACACAGAGTATAAGATATGGCAAACGTAGCAAAAGTAAAGATAGAAGATCAGATGGAAAATCCAGGTCAAATGCATCTGGATGGTGGAGTTCAGATGACAATCTAGATAATGATGTTTGTATTTATCGTGGACCAAGTGGGATAATGACTATGGGAAGATGTCCCGACCGTTCCACTTCTCAATACTTTATGGAAGCCTATAATACTCGAAGCGAACATACAGTAAAGCCTTCCAGAAGCAATAATGATGTTAAATGTTCTACCTGTGCAAATCTGCCTGTAAATTTGGATGCTCAGTTAATGAAAAAAAGCTCTTGGTCCTCTACTCTGACAGTAAGCAGAGCTCGTGAAGTTTATCAAAAAGCTTCTATGAATATGGACCAGACAGTTCTGAAATCAGAGACTTGTCAACAGGAACGGTCCTGCCAATATCTTCAGGTACAGTATATGTCATTTATTTGATTATTTGTACTGCTCTTGGTTCCATGTATATTTTTCACACTGAGATGAGATTGCAAATGAAAAGATGTAAGTGGGAGTTAATCTAAATACAAATTATGAATAAATCTGCATTTTGGTTGCTAAGAAGCAGTGTTTCAAATGAATGCATACAGTGAGGAACTGATTCACTTTCTTAATATATGAAAAGAACAAGAGCTCCTTAAATAATTGGGAGGGAGATTAAAAAGGCACTCTAGGCACACAAAACAGCACAGCAGGATCACAAGGAGCTAGAGGTAGTAAAGCTTTCATTTTGCAGTACAATCTCAATGAATTGATATTCCCAGGACAGAGATTTGTTGGCTGCTGTAATCTTGGGATCTGCCTTCATGTTATTTGGTGATGAAAACTTGAGACCTTTTAAACACTTAGTAATGTCACAGCGTTTTGTATACTATGAACCAACCTACAGTCAGTTTTTGTCACATACAAAACAACTGAACAGCCTTTAGGAAATAATTATATGAAGTGACCAGGTTGGTGTTCCTGGCTGTTATTCCTTTAAAATAAATAGCTAGCACTCTCTGAAAAATGCAAAGTTGAAAGACTGAAATTATTGAGTGTTCTGATTATACTCTTTAGGAGTACATCAGTGACTCCCGCACAAGCTGTTTGCAGTTAATAAAGCGTCACTATTTTTCACCAGTATTGTATCTTTAAATGTCAAGAATCAGATGTCTGCTCTTGGAGCTATCATACTGCCGGTTAATTTTTGTGGCAAGAACGTGGATCAGAAAATTAACAGTTTCAGCTGTAAAAGATCTGTGGATTATTTTTTATGCATTTTCTTTTAAAATGGCTATGGCACATTTAACTGTGCATGGACAGTGGAATAATGTCAAACAAAGAAGAGAGAAGACTATGAGGAAAAAAGAGGTTTGATCAATAAAATATTTTGTTGTTGTTGGGTGGGGGATTGTAGGGACTAATTCATTGCTCTATTTTTTTTATCTGCTATATAGTTTTATTTCAAAACATTGGGCACTCCACAGTTAGTTCTAGCTGTATTTAGCCTGATGGACAGCTTACAATCATAATTTTGCACTTGCATCTCCATGTTCAGGTAAAGGATTGGAGTCTATTGTCCTGCTGACTTATAGTTTTATAGTTCAGATGACCTAGAAATGAAACCAGAATACCAAGTTTTAAGGGGTTATTTTTAAATAAAAAAGCATTATACATGAAGGCGCATTCAAAAATATAAAGCAGCATGATGTATGTCCTGTATGAATGTTTATCTCTGCATATTCTTATGTTCTTGGAGGAGACTGTTAGCATCAGAAAGTGGGGAATTAAGAAGATTCAGTATGATACTGTTATGTTGTATGTCAGGCCAGAAAAAAATTACCTTCAGAGACTTGCCAGTTATATAGCTCATGACCTAATATATGATTGTATATGAGTGTGTGTGTGTGTGTGTGTGTGTGTGTGTGTGTGTGTGTGTGTATCTGTGACTGTGACTGTGACTGTGTGTGGATAGATAGATAGATAGATAGATAGATAGATAGATAGATAGATAGATAGACAGACAGACAAGATAGATAGATAGATAGACTCTTCTTTTGGCGTGGGCTCTTTTGCAAGGACTAATAATATAACTAATAGGATTATCTCACCGAAATAAAATTAATATACAAGTTTGCATATTACCCAGGAATGAGTTTCACTTAATTTAATGGAGCTTATATCTTATATCTGACGGGATATGTACATACTTGTCATGTTAGAGGGCGTTACCTATTCTTCTTCACTTAATATATAAAATTCATTCTGAATGTATACTTAAGGTGTACTTAATTGTTCTTACATTTTGCCATGCAACATAAGATTGTAAGTTGACATTTATTTAGAAAGAAGTAAGAAATTTCATTATTTTGAGATGGTTAATAAAATATGATGGATACAAGGAAGGTACAGGGGAACAAGATGAGTACTTTAGATAGTCTTTAACTCTATTAATCAAGTAAGAATTCCAAGTTAAAACAGTAATATAAGACATAAGATTTTTGCAGATTCTTTAACAAACAAGTATAAAATATTCATATTTGCAAAATCACATCTCTGTTATCCCTAGAAGAAGCCATGTTCATTAACGTTTATGCACAACAAAACAAATGTGTTAAGCAAAGAGATCTGTCAGTTTTTTTAATTAGTTTCCCTGAAGAGAAAAACTTCCAAATAGGTAATTTTCAAGTAAGGTAAACTCCCAGGTTTTTCTAATGACACTGATCAACCATTGTTATATTATTCTGACTATAAATATAATGATTTTTTTAGGTAAATCCAACTTCTGTGCATTATTTTTGCAATTTAGAATATGAAGAATCTATACACAAAAATGCATACATTTCCATAATTGTGGTAGCAAATAAATATTCAGAGAGAATGACGAAAAGCATATCAAAAGACAAAATGAGCATGATTTTTCTGCATTTCTATTTTTTTCTGTATTTATTTATTTAAGCTTCTCAAGTTTATAGGAGGTCTCTATCTGTAATCAATGAATGTGAATATTAGAATTAACTATGATCATCACGCAGATAATTATTCATTCTTACTAATTACTATGGTTCTAGAAGCATGAAATGTAGATCCCAACTGATGCTCAGACCTCTCAGTAGTTTTATTTACTAGCATGTCTATTATTGTCATATAATAACTTCTAGACATTCTAGAACAGTGGTTCTCAACCTTCCTAATGCTGCGACCCTTTAATACAGTCTCATGTTGTGGTGACCCCCAACCATAAAATTATTTTCGTTGCTACTTCATAACTGTAATTTTGCTACTGTTATGAATAGTAATGTAAATATCTGATATGCAGGGTGTATTTTCATTGTTACGAATTGAACATAATTAAAGCATAGTGATTAATCACAAAAACAATATAGCAATGCTCGCTGGAGAAGCTTACTCTTCCTTGCTCAAAAATGTTGGGAGGGAGGGAAGGGGAAGGAAAGAAGGAGATTGAAGGGGAAAGGAAGGAGATGGAGAAGGAAGGAGATTGAAAAGGAAGGGGGAAGGAAGGAAGGAAGGAAGGAAGGAAGGAAGGAAGGAAGGAAGGAAGGAAGGAAGGAAGGAAGGAGAGATTGAAGGGGAAGGGAAGGAGATGGAGAAGGAAGGAGATTGAGGGGGAAAGGAAGGAAGGAAGGAAGGAAGGAAGGAAGGAAGGAAGGAAGGAAGGAAGGAAGGAAGGATCTTTGGAGAGTCATGTTTTTCCAGATGGTGATGAACTGCAACTCCCAGCATTCCCCACTCTTCCACAGTGCTTTTTAGGGCTCTGCGGATGGTAGTCCAGTAAGGTCTGGAGACACACACAGATGCCCTCCGACAGCGACGGAGGCAGGCTGGGCAGCGCAAGGGAGGCTCTGGCGTGGCGTGGGGACCAGCTCAGCGCCGCAGCTCAGCTCAGCCAGCAGCAGCAGCAGCAGCAGCACGTTGCCCAAGCAGGGTGGGAAGAGAGGGGGTGGTGGTGGCAAATCATGAAAGCAGCATCCACACGTTCAGGGTGCAAACGCCTTGGACCGTTTGGCTCCCCCATCCCTTTATTTACTGATCTGCCACAAGCTTGTGCAAACAAGCCCCAAGGAGTTCTGAACGAGCAGTCATTTAAAAAAAAAAAGCTTTAAGCAACAAGGCAGAAAGGGGAATTCGCTCACGGCTCTTTTTTTCCATTTCTCGGTGACTGGGAAGGCAGCAGCCAGAGACGCCGCTGCACAAAGGGAGGCAGAGAGAGGGGCGAGGGGGAAAATCCTCACTCAACTTTCATCCTTATCAGACCCGGTTCCCTTCTGATCGACCCCCACCCGCCCGCCCCTTCACCTCCCGCTACAGATCGATGCTACCCCTCGGGAGTATTTTGCCAGGCTTTTTTTTTTTACCTTGGCCCTGCGCTTCTCCCAGACGGAAGCCAGGCAAGAGGACCTGAAAGACTCCAAGCAGGAGCTTCATAGCTGTGGCGACCTGGCAGTAGCTGCTCTGCAATGGGTAGCGCAGCCCTGACATGCTGCTGAGGCAGCTACTTTCCTGTCTGCCTGAGCTGACTGGTGGAGCTAGCCTTGAGCAGAAATTCTCACTAGTGTCTCGGTTCCTAAGACCATCAGAAATATGTGTTTTCCAATGGTTTTAAGCGACCCCTGTGAAAGCGTTGTTCAACCCACAAAAGGGTCGCGACCCACAGGTTGAGAACTGCTGTTCTAGAAATTGTGTTTGAAGGTATTTTTTGACTGAACAATGATCTTGAAAAATAAATCTTGTTTTTCGTTGTGTTTACATTTATCTATTTTAATTGGTTGAAATCACTGAGAAAATTGGTAATTGATATGATATTATATTGATGATGTCCATTTAGCTCTACTATCATGTAACCCAGGCAGGGCAATGTAATAATACTTTTGAGTAATGAAATAGAGGAGGATTGCATCTAATCAGAGTGGAAGTGCTATTAATAGGTGTTTCATCCTTTTACAGAAGTGATCTTCTGTTCCTTAATGTCATCATAATTTCACTTTAGATCAGATAAGCATATTTTTAGATTCAACTCTGACTTTGAATGGTGCTATAAAACCAGATAGTTTTCATAGTTCTTGTAGTCTTGATCATAAGAAAAGCCCTGCTATACTTTAATTAGGATATAATGATTTAACTCTCTCTGTTCCATCTAGAATTAGTTTTAAAAATATCCAAATTCACATTTATGGAATAGGGGACACAGTGGTTGGTTTCAGCTGAATCTGGCAGCTCAGTGTTGAGAAGGGGGTGAAGTGGGAACTGCACAAGGTTTTTATTACTGTTTATGCTTATCATAAATTCTAAGTATTTTTCTTTGTGTATATATGGTAATTTTATTTGATTCTCCTAAATCTTCTTCATTTGCTATTATTAAACAAAAAAGGATTAATCTGAGTTGTGCTAGTAGCAACATGATATTCATACCGCAAATGGAGAATTATTTTATTTTA